AAATAGAATTAAGAATTAATTTTGTACATCCTAGGATTATTCCAATATCTTTTAATTTGTAAGTAATCTATTATTTCTGTATCATTATCGAGAAGTCAGATACGTATGTCCGATGGCTCGAATCAATTAAAAGCAATCACAGTTTTTTGCAAGGTATAGAAACGAGATATGAAGTCGATTCGCCTGATACGATTGATTAATATTTATTAACACGCAATGATGACCACAGTTACCGCCCTTCCTCACTACCATCTTCGGTTAGGTTCGGCGAGCCTTTCTTTCGTAACTCCATCGCCAGTTCCTTCCCGTTAGCACGACCACTCGCAAATTAATATGTATACGCCTTTTCTTTCCGCGTAGGAGCAAACTCGCCAGCACGGCAGTTTTTACTATGAATAAAATCTGATACTCAACCTGAGCATATCTTCTAAAATATGTTATACTGTCATCTGGCTTTAATTACAATAAAGAATGATATGAAATTATTGATAAAAAATAGCTGTAGAAAAATAAACTGATAATAATATTCCAAAGGTACTTCATGTTTCTGTTTCAAGTTCCAAGTTAATGCTACAGTGTGGATATGATGAGAATCTCTGAATAAAAACGCATTATCTTTTACCAATGATAAAACTTTATCCAATGGCAGCGATCAGTTTGACAAAAGAAATAAACATTCGCGATATTTCGAACTCCTCGTTTTCGTTCCAATAAATTCTGTATTATTCTTGGCAATTTATGGAGTACGTTTCTACGATTGTAAAAAGTATCGTCATAAATTATTTCAGCAAATAAACGGAAGAGACGTTGGAACAAACGACCGAAGGAAATAAATAAAGTGCACGCGGAGCGGAGATGCTTTTTCTTATTGTTAGGTAAACTGCAGTAGGAAAAATATTCTTTTATCGGGATGCTATTAAACGAGATCTGAACCTTCTTGCAAATAATGAATTGCTTAAGTACAATTTGCTATGATACAATAGTAAGCATGATGATAAAGCCTGTAATCCAACAGTGAATATAAGGAATACTAAAGAAAAATGACAGACATTGATTCTATAGTGTACAGCATTTATAATTAAATAAAGATGTAAGCAGTACTTCTGTCAGACTAACGTACATTTTTATTTCTTGTATGTATTGAACGTGTTTCTAAATTGTTTATAGATATAAATATCAATGTATCAAAAATTAATAAAAAAATAAATAATCTCTTTAGATTTACATTTTTTAATTGTATGCAGCATATATACGTTTCTCAGAGAATATTATTTATATATGTCTAACGATTAATTAGGAGTTATTGTATATTCTTGAAGAAGGGAAGATGTGATACATCGGCTGTCGATTGCTAAGACTGTTTAAGATTTGGAATACAGCATTGGCGCCCCGACGATCTGACTCCACCAGGTACGTACTTAATATGTACATTATTGACGGCTATGGATCTTGCATTCCATGAATTCACATATACAGGTGCAAACCTGTTGGTCGCCAATCTTTACCTGCGCAATCGATATCTCTGAACGAAACTGAAACGACTCCTAGCAATCTGATATTTGCGTAGGTAGCTTGACGTCATAACCAAATAATCCTTTTCACGAGATCAAGGTCGACTCAAGCCTCATCAAAAGAACGTCGACAATCTAGCAGGAAACGAATACGGATTGAGACGAAAAAAGAAATCAGTCGATATCCTGTTATCTGCTCTAGGAGTCTACTTTAATCGTGCTCTAACCAGAAGTACAAAAAGATCAGAACTTTCATATAAAACAATTGATGAATCGTGGTATTATAACATGATTAGATCAAATATGTAATTGGATCGACGATAGAAATACTGATAATTATAATATTTAACACGAGATTGGCAAAAACGAAATAGATAAGTACAAATTTAATATTCAGAAGGAATAAGGAGAACGAGAGATAAGTAAGGTGCTCGACTTTTATAACTACCTATTATTTACAGTAAACAATAAGCTGCTTAAAAGTTGGGATTAAAAAAGAGGCACCGTGTTCTTATAGAAACTAGTTAACTACCTCAAAGAAGTGTAGAATTGGTCTGAGAACGTCGAGTAACATAATCTACCAAACTTTTATAATAAGGATAGAAATGAAAAAGTCAGAAACGTAAGAAGTATATAAGTAATTAGAGTGTAGGATTTTAAAGAGTAGAGGTATCATGAAATATAGCGTGTTAATGAAGAAAAAAATCTCTCAGGATTAAGCAAACCTGACTTCTAAAGAGCAAGGTCAACGAGATCATTTAGCAAAGCACCTAACTGTAAAGTGGAAAACAGATTCACCTTTACCATTGAATCGAAAATGGTGACTGACTTTTGAAGAGCTTTTCGAGAGTTACTTCTTACTTTCAGCAAACATTCCTACTTTTCATCGATCAAGAAATTTTAGTTAAAAATATTAAGACGATTGTTGAACAATAATGATGTACAATAAAATATATAATAAATACAATATGTATTGTAAGTTACATTAGATTTATTATTTAAATGATTATCGTTCAGGAGTGAAAACCAGAACACCTGATGTGTACTCGGTCTTATCGCTGACAGATGAAATTCCACGATAATGATAACTAAATTTAGATTTTTATACCATTTCCCAATGAAAACTGACTGAAGTATATCGACTTCAAGAAGTCATAATAATTAATAATTCGATAATAAAAGTGTAATTAACTCACAATTCTCGTTTTAACATTTATACAAACGTGTTAACACATGACTAATTATGACGAAATTATCATTGTCTTTAATGCAACGAACTATCATCGTGTTAATTTCCACCGCAATGCGTATATTAGATGTTTCGAAACTACATCAGCCTATGAACCTTATCATTCATAACACAAAAGAAGATAGTAATATCAGACACTATAATCTCGATTTTGTCGCTATATCAGTGATCAATGATACAATAACATGATTATTCGTAGTAACACGTATATACATATACAAACGCGACATATCACCTTTTGTATACAATACGCTTCGTATGACACGATTATTAAGAATGATACACGACGATTGATCTAATTTATATCCGGTCGAACTAAAATGAAAAGAATGAACATGTGCAATACCATGGTAGTTCAGATTGTGACATAAATAAAATAAATTACTAATGCAACGTGTACGTAAATTCACTGGATTTAATTCATCTCTACGTACAAACGCGTACGTGCAACACGCTTTCAGTTCGGAAAATTCACGCGCTGTAAGTTGCCGCAGCGCGTGTAATTAATTCACATTATAGTCTTGTTACCTTCAACCCGTGAGTCAAAATCACACCCGAACGCCGAACACGCGAGGAACTGTTCCCAGACGTCGTGCCGAGAGCCGAACACAAGTCTGCACAAGCGATGCACGTTTACCAATATTGATCATTCAAAGAATTAGATCTCGCGAAGGAAAGATGCGCGCAAAAGGACGACCGAACAACCCCGTGTCCAGGGAGGGCGCGTTTACACCGGAATCGATAACTACGAGAAGTAGAGAATCGCAGAGGAGGGGGTGTTCTTCGATCATCCCCCTGCACGTTTCGGGCATCAGATTTTGCATCGATTAAACGTTATCGAACGTGGCTCGAGTCACGCTGTCAAGTCGGGTGCATAATAGTCGCCGATCGACGGCACTGGTCCGTTTCGAACAATCACTGACACATCGTGACACTCTTGTTTTTCGACTCACCTGTTCGAATTGCCGGTGCAGCTAGCGGTGACGGTCACGAAACAACTCGTTGCGGTACTTTCACGAGATGACACAATTTCTCGTTGTTAAAATCCAATCGTTCGCGTCGACCGGAAAGGGTGATCACTGAGGACGGTACAAGGGACAAGGGAAGAAAAAAAAAAGCGCGCGAATAATGTGAACGATTAAGAAATACGGGAGGGAGAGTGCGGAGAACAAATTGGAATAAGATAAACAGAGACGATTCAAAGGGAGGAGGAAAGAGAGGAAGAGAGACGAAGGGAGGTGACAGGAGCGCCGGAACGATAACAGACCGCGAATCGACGGGGTCGAGTTGTATGCAGCGCAGTGGAATATATGCTTAGACAGTCGGCTGTGGTTATTTAACGGAGGCGCGAGAAGCCCGGACAGAGCACACGGGACGCGCACCTCTCTGTCACAGCGACATTTTCACTGATGAAACCGAGGCCAGGAAAGCGAGAGGCCTGCGACCGCAACACAAAACCCCCCAGCCGGATCTCGTTTTCGTAAACGCTCGACTCCGACTATCCGCGTATCGAGACCGAGCCGTGTATCACGCTGCGCATGCGTTCCGCGCGAAGAACGCGCGCGCGCACGCGTCCGTGTGCGCCGTACGTCGCTCTTATCAGCGCGCCGTTCCGCTACCAGCGGGAGAGATCGCCCTCCCCTACCCGTTCACCCTCGTGTGCGCCCACTCTTCCTGGGTTACCCTTCGATTTCACGGTATCCCGATGTTCAGAAAGGGCGAGAGGAAAGACGCGTGCGCGATGACACGATATGTAGTAATTTATAGTGAACATCGTCTCTGCGAAGAATGGAAAAGTATATTTAGGTAAATAAAAATTGTGGGGAACGACATCCGATTAGTTTGAAATTTAGGATGATGCTACTCTCATCACCTGTTCCTGTCGTTCCATGTTATATACGGTAAGAAAGGATTTTAATTTCTAATTAAAATTAAATATGATCCAAGTTTAATTAAAAGCAAAAAAGATTTGAAATATCCAATGTGGAATACATTATTGGTGAAGCATGATCAGGCGTAATCAGGCACATTAAAGCTAAAGATACATTAGTAATCTTAAGTGTGCGCGCCGTAATATTGTTTTACACCGCGTGTATACAATTGGACTTTATGATACTCAGAGCTTCGCGTTACTCCGTTTAGAATTGGCTATGTTACTATGACCGTTAATTGACTGCTCTGATTTAATTAAAAATATTCTTATTAACCGCATATTAATTTTAATGGAAAATGGAAATATTTTAATCGATTATAAAATACTTCACATTTGCTTTAGAAAATATGTACACATACATACATACATTGTTTCGTTTATATCAAAACATATCTTATAACAATTCTTCTTACATGTGATAAGTACACATTATCATATTTTCCTTGTCACTGTTATACCTTTTCTGGACTCGTTTAACGTATGGTATATCGTCAAAAAGAAAGGTAGAGTATCTATAGACGTGAAGTGAGATTAAAAATTTGAAAACAATCTTTATTCACAGCTATTGTTCATTGTACAAATGATACAAGTTAATTTTGATAAGAATATCGTGCGAGATATTCGTACGCTTGATTATTTTTAATAATTTTCATATGTACTCCTAAGAGAAAGTGCACATTCGTCAGAAATCAGATGAAATAGAATTTTCTGCTTGTCAGATGTTTGTTTTTCAACGAGATCAAATACGTGACAAGCATGCATTAACTGGGATTTCTTTCGCTCAGAAAGATTTCTCCTGTCATGCATTCTTGATAAATCTACGTGATGAAGTAATATCTAACCCTACGATGGGTCCGGAATAGGGATTTGTAGTGTTCGACCTTCAAGCATGTCATGAAGAAGAATACCAATTTCCTAAAAGTACATTAGTTCTTTACTCTCTCTAGTTTTCGCTGAGTGAATTATATAAAAATTAACTCGGCTATCCTCCCCAATTTCATAGCTGTCACTACACTCTTGTGTCTGTGTGAGGATAGTGACCAAAAGATAGAGAATAAAACTGACATTTAAATATTGAATTTAACATATCGAAAATGAAGAAAGACTACTTAATGTATTATTTATTTGAACGTATGGATCCGAGGAAAACAGACCATATTAAACATACGAAAGAAAAATTCTACGCTTAAAATAGAAATAATGATTGTAATATAATGATCATAAATGGAAATTTGATAAGTACTATACCTCCTCTCGTTGCGCTCGCAATCTATCGATGATCGGCTCATTAAAATTGGAGTCGTTACTCGGATCCTCTAGTATAATTTCATTGCTCCTTGACTCCTGCGGTATACGAGTAACGTAAATTTGTTTGATGGTATCTAAGATCGCCGAAGGTCTCGTCTGAGGAAATTGCAAATCGATCGACGAGAATGAGTCTGCACCGGCGGGCACCGCTAATGGCTTCTCGAACTCCGTGCACGTGGTATCACTAATGTACATTTTTCCGAATGATAAACAGCATTCTAATATCGAGATATGTTATCATTGTTTCGATGCAACACTTACGAAAGTTGAGTGCCAAACCCGTAGTGAGATAACAAGTCTTTGGTCCTTCGCAATAAAGTCTTATCTTTCGAAGAATGGTAATAAAGCCCAGCTCCTAAAACGTGAGCTATAGCTCTCAACGCTTTCCCGATTAATTCCTTTTTATTGAAATCGACGTCCTATTCCGGAATCGTCACGCAGTTTATCATTATGAAACGATTTTTATTTTATAACAGTTCATAATTATACACCACTTCACGGTGATACCTTAAATAGATCGTACTTTCCGCCTATAATGCAAAGTTTCAACGGAAATGGTTCAACTTCCTTTTCTATCGCCTTTTTCCGCTCCTTTATCCGGCGTCGTTTAAGTTCGAGAATCGTTTTATCGTCGTAACTCATTTTCATCGCGTTACGAACTACCGAGAGAACCTCTTCGAACGTAGACCATAAAATCTCTGGCTGTGATAAATCCAATACAACCAGTACCGTGACGTGATGAGGGGAATGAGTCAAAGATGAGCCTGTCATTGCGGCTGACATTAACGAAGACGTTAAATGTCCTACTTCCCAAACATGCACGATACTTTTTGTCTGTACGAACAGTAAAAATTGAATCATTAACACATGCTTGTACGTATTGTACATACATGTGAAAAATAAATTTTATTTAACACTGTTTTTTAATCATTTCTAGTAAAGAATTTGGCATGTCGTGTCAATAAATCAAGAACTTACTAAGCTTTTACCAGTTTTACGTCCAAAAGAGTAATCCATTGCTATAGTCGGCTTGGGCGGTTCATCTTTTTCAAGAAATCGATGTACAATCGTAGTCTTTCCCTAAAAATTCGTTGTTCTTTTTGATGAGTGTATTAAAATTGTTGACAATGTTAATTAATTGTCATATTATATTACGTACGACGCTTTTACTGCCAACAATGATGATCGAACGTTCACGTGTTTGATTCGGATCGGTTTTACGTCGTTCTTCTTCTTCTAAACAAAGCCGCAACGCAACATCTCTAACATTTTTTTCGCTAAAATATGATTAAATGACGATCTCTGTTCTGAGCTCAAATTATTATAATTATTTAAGAAATGAATAAGAATTCATGTGGGAATAATAGGCTGACGCGATTTTACATATTCAAGTCACTCAGTTGTATAAAAAAAGTTGAAGGATACATACGAATTTTGATCTGACATCTCGATCCACACTTTTTGAACAAGTACGATGGATGGAAAATGTTACAAGTGCTTTATTGTTCGGTTTATCCTCAGGTTATGAGAGTGTTTTGCTCTTCGTTACTATGGTAATTTGAAATTGTTCCTTCACGAAATTCATTTCTGGGTTTACTATTTTTTCATTATTTAACGCGCGAACGACTCGCAAAAAATTGAGACTTTCTTAGAAAATTATTTAATACCCTGTATCTGTTACTCTATCTTCGGGATGTAACAATATTGTGTTAATAAATTATTTACGATTCAAAATACAAACGATTAACATAGTGTCTTTATTTATGTATGTACATGATGGACTAGATGAAGTTAATAAAATGCCTCACATATGTAGTGGTCTATAATGAATTAAAAGTGAATAAATACAATTAGAAGAAATCGTAGAAGCATGCCAAATCGTAATCGCACAATTTATTTGTGGAACGTAATATAAGAGAGTAACAGTCAATAATTTTATCTTTGGTAATAACGATGAAGAAGATGGTTACAATCCTTTACATAAGTCCTACAATACATATCTTTATGTTTCTAACGTTTTATAATTCGAAATAAACGTATGCGATGTCGAATTAATAACTACGGGGAAGTCTGATACAACCACGAATATCTTCGAACTACCAGGAATTAAATATTAGAAAACTGCATTTTGTTTTTTTTTCTTTTTGTAAATGATTATCGAAATTCTTTTGTTGTAATTGGTTTACATTTTTTTACATGTTATGTACTCATTTTATATCTACAAAAGTGTATGATAAACAGGGCACTTTAGAGTTGAATGTCTCTTTAGAGTCTGTGTGAATGGATTCTACTGAACGATGTATCTACGAGAAAGTTATATTTCCTGTTAAAAAATGTAACAATCTGTTAAAAAGAAGACAGATTGAATCAAATGGTACACAAAAATGTTATAATAAATATGGGAAAAGTCAGTTTGACAATATATTCTTCATAGTTAAATCCTTAGAGCATATACAGTGGAGTCCACAATTCAAAACTGAATAACTTTTTAATATTCCACCGAACAACTTAACATTCTTTGGAGTATGAGAAGACTTAGTTTACTATATAATGCATAAAAGAAAGTTGAACAAAATTATAGTGGGATATACAAGAAATACGATTTGTATTCTACTTCTTAATAAAAATTTAAAACATGCTTTATGTAAATCTAAGCACGTTATATGCATGTACAAAGTTTCATTAAAGTCGATTAACGCTGCTGTCATTGAGAATGCTTGCAGAAATTAATACAATCGTAGGTTTTGATAGTTTTCACCTTAAGAGTTTAATAAATTAAGAAAATTCAACAACTTTCGATACGTCTATTTCCTCCGTAAATCCGACCTACAGCAATATAGTAAACTAATATTTCTAACAATTCAAAAAAACTTAATTCATCAAGTTCAGCAAGTAGAAAAGTTATTCAGTTTAGAAATGCGTTCCAATATTTATGATCTTTGTACTACTGAATGCAGCTTCCTTATCTATCGAAAGTGTAGACAAAATCGTAAACAGAGACCTATAGTTTATCTACCTGCTGTCTTTTTCTCTCAGCACGAATCCTTTCCCATTCAAATTGCTCCAAATTTCATATCGCTTACTAATAAGTTGTAGTCAGTGCTATGAGAGAGAGATAGCACGTAACCATTTCTAGCTCCTCTTTAAGAAGCTGCCTCCAGTAAAACATGCTCTGAGATTAAAGGGGGCAATGAACACAACAATGAAAGCAGTCATTGCATGTTTCAAAATTTCATTTCTCAGATCTTTTTTTAATCTATGCTAAACCAGATTTGCGTTATTGAAAGATATACATTATATCACATGTATATCTTCCTAATATATTTTGTTAAATAATTATGAAAAAAATGCTTATTATTTGGTCCTCCTACTGCATACTCATTTGCATCAGACTAAATTCATTTGAATCATATTACAGTTTTCGAATAACTGATATTCCACCTGTATTCTCTTGCAAATAAGCTCCTTCTTACATTTGTTACAGACACGAAAGAAAATAACTTTCTATTATTTGTCTATATTCCTTTACGAAGTTATTCGATAGGTACGAAATTTATACGTATGAACACTATGGCAGATAAGAATGTTTGGGAGACACAAGACGTGTAACCGAATTTAGTAATTAAAGTAATTGATAATTTATATTAAATGTCAACAACCAATACAAGATAATATCATGTTCCTTAAACAAAAATCGCAGGTTATTTACATATATTTTTGGAATATCGAGCCGAGTTCGAGCATTTTATAAAAATGCTACTTGTAAATTCCTTATCGTATTACCAAACAGACTGCATTCGATACAATCTTACAAATAAAGTAATTATAAATATTTATACGAACAATTCCGATACAAGCGACGTCGTTTTAAAAATCCATCAAAACGTTAAATAGTCACCGATGCAACCGTATGTGGAAGGAAGACTGTAATAAAGATTAGTCACCGTTTTCTACAATACTTCATCGCTTCTATTATGCAATAAATCACACGCTCTGCATGTTATCTAGTCCATATGTCACTCATCCAATTATCATCTAACTCATTAATCGGTAACACTTTTAATTTCCGTAATGCCTCAAGGTAAAACGTAAGTTCAGACGTAACTACACCATGTTGTGGGCCACCGTTATTCACTATGTTCATTTTGACTAATTGCTCTCTAAGTTTCTCTTTGAAAGATGCGTTTACCGTACGATACAGGGTTTGTACTTCAACTGCTGGCAGAATTCCAGAAACTGCTTCATATAGTTTCATCAGATAACTAGAAAATGTACAAATCTCCATTAATCTCGATTTGTTAAATAACATGAAAACGAGACACGGTGATTCACGAAATTGTTTGATCAATTTTGTAAGACTGTAGGATAAAATTAGTTGCTTACCTAGAAATGTTTCTAAACGACTTCGATGGTACCGGCGGTCTTGCAGTCCATTTTGATATCTGACCGCCCAAGAGATTGTCGACGATAGTAAGAATTTTGGTTTCAATTTCTTTCACGTGCGCGCGAATATCTCTTTCAACGCTATCTAATAATGCGACGCCGCCACTTATATTTGAGGTACCAAGATTGCGGTTAGGATTCTGCTCCGCAAGCACTGTGTAGTAAATTGTAACGTTATAATTTGTACAATTACATATGGATATATAGATGCTAGATAAGGAAACTTACTTAAAAAATGTGTTTTCACATAAGGCATCAGCCACAAAATTAGTTTCAAACTGCGTGCCGCTAATACAAGTATCGTACTGGTAATAGTTTTCAAACCAGCAACTTGCATGGCTCCCGCCCCGAGGACAAGCTGGCAGCAACGTGAATTGTAATGCCGTAGTAATTCAGCCAAATGCCTTCCAACTGTTCCTGATAGAGCAACTAATTCACTACCAGTCCTGAAAATAAGACTTTATTAACATTTCAGAAACAATTCATCAATTATATAAAAATCCTATACTATGCTACGTATTACCTGCAATATTCGTGAATCATTTGTATAAGCATTACAACTGTACCAACAACGGCATACTTTTCATCTCCTACCACAATAAAATGTTGAATACTATCGTTTTTAACTTTATCATCAGCCTTAAGTAGATTTGGTGGAAAAGTTTTATTTTCATATACGTATGTTATTAGTGACTGAAATTCCGGTGGCACATCGGCTTGTTTCCACTTTTCAGACTCCAATAAAAGAGTGAGCTTCGTTTTTAGTTCCGTGTGAAATCGTTGAATAAATTTACTAGCTTGTGCCTGTAATATTATCAAATGTGTAACGTAGCAATTTATACTATGAACATGCAATTTATGAGAAATTATGTACCTTAAACGCAGATCGCAGGCCTGTGCATTGTTTACCACAGACTTTCTCACATGTCTCTGTAAACTCTTCAACTAAACTAGCCAACTGGCAAACCTGAGCCGACGTGGCTCTTTTACTCAACCAAGACGATTTATCGTTTTTACTGTCCTTGTCTTCTTGCTTATTATTGGAATTTTCATTGTTCCACTTTTCTTTTTCATTCTGCTTATTATCTTTGTCACTTGTACCTGCTGAGAGCAGATTTCCCATTCGTTCATGACAATAATCACAAATTGACGTCATCATATCGTTCAGCTTGGTCATTACTCGCGAATGTTCTGCTCGAGTTAATAAGCGATCAGGTATTGTATCGTCGAATGTACCGTCACACACTCGACCTGCTGCGAGGTCTATTGTATCTCGCATTACGTCGTGTACAGCCTGGAAATGTTTATTATATAATAATTTA